AATATTAAGATATTCTAGTTTTCCCCAAATCCTTTTAATCCACTATAGAAACAGGAAATTAAAAGGACTTTTTTCTCCCTATAAAGAAATTACATAGTTCCCTAGGGTGGCTCATAACTTATTCTTTAATTAATATTTCAAATAAAATTCATAGGACATTCAGTGGGAAATAACAATCTTCTTTAGAAACCTTTTTCCAAATGAAATATGAATAAAATTTATTCAGAGGTGAATGACTTTTTTCCCAAAATCTCACATACTACATTCGACATTTAGAAGAAAATATTTTTTCACTATTGTGTTTCAATTGTTCATAAAAGTTTTCTATTGAGTTTAAGTCACAGTAGCTATAATTAACTGTGAAAGTTTAAGGACATACATATTTAAATTACTTATGACCATCATAATTGTTGATCTCCATGAGTCAACTCTAGTATTTTATGACAACTTAAATGTCAGCAGTTCATTTTTTGAGGCTCATAATGTGAAAATGATTGCAGTAAATATTTGTAGGGTAAACCACACTTCAATAAGCAGAGCAATTCAAATATATGAACAGTAAGATACCATGAAGTTCTCACAAATGTCCCTTCTAGACTTAGAAATAGTCAACAATTTTGTCCCCTTAAAATCAAGCTTTTAATTTATGATTGGACAAATGAAAGCTAGATTCAACACAACACTCTAATTTAGAATTTTGTTCATTTCAACTGAAAGAACAACTTCAAATTCTAAGGTCACAAAAAGAACCAGTTACAAATTTTATGAAAAACTTGAATATAAATTGCAACTTTAATGTATTTAACCACCCCAATCAAATGCTTAGACAGGTAACTATGCACAGGCAGGTAATTATGTTTTATAACAAAGTATAAATATTGCATCAAATTCTAAATAGAAAGCACTACATAAGAAAATCAGATTACAGAAAATTAACTTGACATATTGTTTGTGTGTTGTGTATACCAGATCTGCTCTCAAAAAATTTCCCAGAATAGTGTCTCCCATTCTTATTTATCCTTAGATGAATGTTTAATAGTAGAGTCAGCTTACATTTGAAGATATTTTGAACAATCCTATTAAAAACCAATTTAAATGATGTGGCTCATGTTTAACTCTTCAGTTATTTATTCATTAATCTCTTTTAAGTACTTCCTTCCTCAATACCGCTGCAGTTCAGGAGGTGGCCAGCAGTTGGCCTCCATTTCTGTGGCTTTTCATGAACATCTACATTTCTTTTTTGCAAACTTTTCAGATGTTGTATGCCTAAACAAGTTTTTCATAACTTAAGAGCTTATAACAAGCTTTTAGAAAGAGTCCAAAAGAAACAAATTTTCTTTTAAAAATAAAAACCAAACAAAAGAAAGCCACACACACTGTAAAGATGTTCTGTGAAAAACATTCTGTTCAGCAGATTTGAAACGGCTCCAAAGGGATCCAGAACCACTTGGTTTGGAAGCAACAGCCAAGAACTTGTAATGGGTTGGTTAAAAGCCAGTAGTGACAGCCATGAGGAGATCTCTATAGCAGATCAGCAGTGGCTGAGAGCATGGCTTCCCACGTCTTTAACTGTATCATTACAAAGTGCTTCAAAGGCCTTTGTCTTTGGTTCTGTTTTTTTTCTCCTTTTATGTTCTCCCCTAAAGACTTCTATGTTTCTGCTACATCACCTAAACTAATGTTCTGTCTCCAAGTGCTCACTTAAACATTTCCACAAGGATATGCTATCATTAGCTCACACTCAACACATCTTACTCATCAACACAAACTTACTCATCTTTATCATGCAAAATGCCTTTTTTCTTGGGAACAAAGCCAAAGTTTCCCGGCTTTGGTAACATCAATCTCATTTTTCCGGTCAATAGCACCTAAAACCAGAAGGGCAACTGCAGACTCCCTCCTGACCTTGATCCCTCACTTTCACTTGGTTCGTGTGGCAGAGGCATTTTTCAGTGAGAGCAACCACAATATCTCTTCCCATCCCCATATACTTCAACCATACAATCTTGCCACTTTGCCATCAAATTCGGCCTGGGCGAAAGACTCACTCACAGCTAAAACAATGTGACTAAAACAATGCTATGAGATGTCCCAGGTTAGGTCAGAAAAGACCACACAGCTTTGACCTGGTTCTCTTGGCTTACTCCCTCTGGCAGAAGCTTGCTGCCATGTAAGAAGTGTAGCTGACTTGAGACCGCCATGCTGAGTGAAAGGCCACATGTAGTCCCAACTAGACCTAGTCGCCCAACTATCCTCACCAAGGTGCCATATATGTGAGCACAGCTGACCTGGATCTCTCCCAACCACTTATCCTGCCAGCTGAGTGCCACCAACTGAACTCAGCCTACACTCCAAAGAGAAACATCACCCAGCTGAGCCATGCAGACTCCTGACACACATAATCATGAAATGTTTAATAAATGTGCCCACAACCTTCCTTCTCGTCATTCCCTATGTCACGTGTAGTGTTGTTACTGCATGAGGTCAAATGTTAACTGAAATGTGACATCTTTATCTCCATTCCAGACCCATCGTCAAAGAGGAAACCCTCATCAGCTCAGACCTGGATTGCTGTGACTGAATCCAGGCTCTCCTCACTATAATCCATCATTACAATCTACCTAACCTAAATCACTAAGCCCACAACCCAATAGCATAATATTTTTCATTTGTAAGAAATTCTATAACACAAAAGTCTTCATAAGTATCTATTTAATTTGATCCATGTAACAAAAGCCAGAGAGATTTGTCAGTAGAGGAAATCCTTACTTTAGAGATGAAGATATCAGAGGCTAAAAATATGACTTTTGTCTTTTTTTTTCTTTAGGAATATTACTTTTGTATAGTCTCATTACCAATAAAAAAAATATACATAGAACTAAGAACCAGAGTCAGAGTATTGTTTTTCCTCTATTCGGTGATGCTCCCTAGATCTATTTCAGATCAAAAACATTTGATGGCTTTCTCTGTCCTTCTTACAGCAAATCTACTTTTAAGGCACTCCACAATTTGGCCTTATTCTACCCCATTGTACCGTATTTCCTACAATCTCTATACCACCAGCAGCAGCACTGCAGGGAGCCTGGTTTATTTATTCACCTAATAAGCCAGCCATAATGATTCTAGCCTCTGGACACTTAGAACATTTTCTTCTTCCTTCTCCTATATATTTAAATATTTATCATGTATGAACACAGATTCTACCTCCTCCAGGCAGACCCTACCAGCAAAGACATACCTTTGCCTTTTCTCTCTGCTAGTGCTAAAGGATTTGTCAATTTCACCCAAAATTTGGGAAGTTTTTTGTTTCTTTGTTTGTTTTTGCAGTACCAGGGATCGAACTCCCTGGACCTTGTGTTTGCAAGGCAGCCATGGTGCCACTAAGCTATATCCCCAGCTTGGCTGGGTTTTTTGGTGGTGGTACTAGGGCTAGGCCAGGGCTCTACCACTGAGCTATACTTCTCACCCAGCCCAATATGGAGTTTTCACCTTGTGAAATATGTTGGTCTTATTTTCCAGGCTGGTATTCAGCCAACATATATACATATCCACATGTATGGTGATGCCAACTGCTTATATTCAGTTAATGTCCATGGCAGACCTTCATTAAATATTTTGAAATTCATCCCTGCTTATTTCTGAAACTAACCCATAACTTTACAGGAATCATATTCTATAAAGTATAATATTCTCCAAACCAAGTACAGCACCAAACACACAGATAATATTCAGTATATATGGGTTAACTGCCTTGAAGGGAATAGAGTGTGTTACACTGCGAGAAAAAAAAAAAAATGTATTCACACCAAAGTGTGGTGGCAACATCCTGGGAGGCTGAAGCAGGAGGATAACAAGTTCCAGGTCAGCCGAGGCAATTTAATGACATAGAGAGTGCCTCAAAATTTAAAAAGGGTTGGGGATATAGCTCTGTGCAAAAGTCCTGAGTTCAGACCCCAGTACTACCATAAGTAGATGGACAAAATTTTTAAAAAATAATTAAGACATATCTATACTGGAATCAAACAATTGCAAAGATAAAAATATTTTCAAGATCAGCAGTTTAACTGCAGGGACATTTTTAAAGTATCACTTCTAAAGATACTCTGTGCAGCCCATAACTGTCAAGGTGTTTTATAAATGTTTTTACCAAGAGTGGGGGAAAAAAAGTTTCAAAAATATCCAAGTAGATGTCTTAACAGCCCAAAATAAAATGTTTGCTGAAGCTACAGGCTGGCAGAACTCTGTTTCATTTCAAAAAGTTTCCAGGCAACAGAAATGTTTTCCTGGAAAATACTACCTTTTATTTAAAGAATACTTGCCATGAACACTTAGTCATTAACTAATTTAAGGTTTCCTCACAAGCTCTTTGGAGGAGATCTAAAATATAAATGAATGAAATTAGCAGCACATATACTGTCAAAAAATATAATTTGGTTAAATATATAAAATTTGCCTAAGTATTTTTCCAGATATGGCAGGGTCATTTTTATACTTTTTGGTCTACTTACTGCTATTTTATATATATATATATATATATATATATATATATATATATATGTGTATATATATATATGTTGTTGTTTTTCTGTAAAATTACAGCCAAACAGACAAAATCCTTAAATGTTTTTCTCCGCAATATACACAAATCCAAAAACTTTAGGGTTCATTCTATTCTAAATGCCAAATAATTTTCAAACAGACAAAAAAATTCATTTCATTCAATGAAAAGACATAGTAATTCCAAAGTTATTTTTAGCAAAATCTTTGAGTTCGCTTCAAATCACCTTTCAATGAGACAGCAACTTGGTTTGGACATTTCACTCAATCATCTGCAGTAAATCATACAATGAAACCTAAGAAAACTGTTTCTTCTAAGAGTTTTGTAGCCAACCAAGTCTTTATTCTTTTCAACATCAAAAGATACAACTAAATTCTATTCCAAGCACATGGTTAGTACATTCAGCCTTTTAAAATCCTACACAAAAGGATATTTGTTTTACCTGTTTAGTATTTCAGTGAGTTTCACAAAACCCGTATAAGCCAGTTCAAATGCTCCTCTGTGCCTGGACTGTAAAAGGTGTTGCTTAAAGTAATCTCCTATTTCTTTCACCTTAAAAAAAAAAAGTTAAATTTAGGTTTACATTTATAGATGTATTTATATTAGTAATGTAATTTAGAATGCATGTCTAGTTGCTCATCTATCTAGCACTAGTATCTCAAGCATTCTTATACCTCATTTAATAGTCACAATAACATAATAAAATAAGTATTATTACTATGTCGGGCCTGGGATTTAGCTCAGTGGTTTCGCCGCCTGCTGCGCAAGTGCAAGGACCCAAGTTCAATCCCCAGTACCAAAAAACAAAACAAAACAAAACAAAAACTAACTCTATAAATACTATGTCTACTCCACACTGGGGAAATGAGGGTCCAGAAAAGCTAAGTAACTTATCCAAGGTCACACACCACATAAGCAGTGGAGCCTAGACATGAACCAAGTAGTCTAAATACAGAGTCTGTCATCTTCAATGTCACACTAGAACTGCCTCCCTACACCAGATTCACAAACCTCACTGCGAGCTGTAAGTTCATGTTACTCAACATCAACATAAAATCACAAAGTAACAACACTTGCCTACATAGATCTAGATGAAATAATTACATTTTTTCTTTTTTGGTACTGGGGATCGAACTCAGGTCCTTGTGCTTGCACAGTAGGCAGAGAAACAACTGAGCTAAATCCCCGGGCCCTAGATTTTCTTTTTTAAAAAATTTGTTTCCTTTCTGATTGTGGTACAATACCTATAACAAAATTTATCTTTTTCTTTCTTTTTTTTTTTTTTTACATGTGTGATATTATGAATGCATATAAAGTGAATTCATATAAAAAAGCTCAGGGCCTTTGCAGTGAGCTACTTTCTTAGCTCTTTTTATTATTTTTTATTTTGAGACAGGGTTTCGCTATGTTGCTAAGAGGCCCAGCCAGGGCTGGAACTTGTGATCCTCCTGCCTCAGCTTCCCAGAATGCTGGAATTACAGGCATGTGCCACCATGCCCTGCTTAACTACTCTCAAGTGCATGGAGTTCAGCAGCACTAAATACATTCATATTGTTGTGCAACCATCAACATCATCCAACTACAAAATGTTTTCACCTCCCAAACAGAAACTCTGAACCTATTAAGCAGTAACTCCCAACACTACCTTTTGGAGATAGACTAACAGGAATGGCAATAGAAGATTTAGTACAAAGGAACCCCTAGCAGTGGTAGAGGCATCACTTAGAGTCAGAATTGTGGAATTTATCAGAATGCCATCCAGTCACTTTCCAATATATTGTCTTTCTCCATGGAAGATTACAGACATTTTAAAATACAACAATTTATTTTAAAGAAAACGTAATTGACTATTAGTTGTGACTGTGATTTTGTACACCATGAACTGCAAAACTAGTTAGTATGATTGGGCTTTATATCCTTAGATCTGGTAGCTATCAGCTTCAGAAAATTCAGGTGCTGTATAAAACTCAGGACCAGGGCTGTCATTAGCTATTTTTTGAGCCACATCTCCACAGATCACAGCATGGTGAAAAACCAAATTGTCCCAAGAAGTCTCAGATATGCTTATCTAAAAGCATTTTTCACCTCAGCACAATGGCTAGATTAGCATTCTGCATACATCAAAAATGATCAATAGTATGAGGGACAAACAAATGACCATGGGCAACTGTCTGTTTCCTCATCTGGAAACTGGGTATAATAATAGTACTTACCTCTGAGGTTGTTGTATTAAAATGAGTTAATAGGGCTGGGGATTTAGCTCAGTGGTTTCGCCACCTGCTGCGCAAGCGCAAAGACCCGAGTTCAATCCCCAATACCAAAAAAAAAAAAAAAAAAAAGAGTTCATAAATCAGAAAGTTCAGAACAGGCCCATAACTATAATCCAATTTAATTCAATATGAGCTTTGTCTAGGGTTCCAAATAGGGGAAAGTACCCATACTCAAAGTATATCTGATCTAAAAGACCTAACAAGTGATCCATACACAGAAGAATCAGACATGAGACCAAAAAAAGCAGTATATAATGGATTTTTAGAAATTCTAACATGTTAGCTACTCCAGAAGCTGAAGCAGGAGGATCCCAAGTTTGAAACTAGTCAGGGCAATTCAGAGAAACCTTATCTCAAAATAAAAAATAAAAAAATCTGGGGGTGTAGCTCAGTGCTACAGTGTTTGTGTAATGTGTTAGGCCCTGAGTTTGAACCCCAGTGCCACAGAGCAGCAGCACAAAAATTCTAACACTTTAAAATGTGATGATATACCTCATATCTTAATATTACCCCTTTAATTTTTTTAAAGGCAACTTACTAGTTGTCAAAAGCCACAGTCAAAGTAAGCTTTATTTTATTCTCAGTATGCTAATTCCAGAGTATATTCTCAAAAAAGTTATCAAGACTTAAATCTGATTTCAATCTCCAAATAGATGTGAAGCTCAAAAATCTTAGTTAGTTAACTTGTCATGACCAACAGGTCTATTATTAGAAAAATAAAAGGTTTCTAAGAAAGTGTTTCAAGTCCAAGAAAACAAAAACTGGAAGTCACAGAGGTATATCTCATCTTAGTTAATTCTATTTTCCAAAATGTTACAGATGTAAAAACATTCTTCAGGAAAACAAATGTAATTGGCAAAGTACCACTCTGAGGCCTTAAAACGGTTCACAACTACCTTCTTAAGCAGAGACCACATTTTCATTGCTTTCTTTATCCTAACTCCCTTTAAAGGGATCTAAATCAAAAAGCATATAATCAAATTAAAGACCTCACAAGTGTCATCAGTGGCTGGTCTTTTCAAAGGTGAACCTTGACCTCAGAAATCAGAATGAGCTCTTGTTGCTTTGCTACCTTCTGGCTACCATGAACTGTTTCTCCTCTGCAAGGCCACTCTGCCATCCCAACCTACCTTGGAGCCAGCCCATTATTGACTGAAACCTCTACAAACTAAACAGCGACCGAGAGGTTGGGAAAAAGTCAGAAGTTTCTTTCTGCCTCTGCCTGATGATAGTTCCTCTCTTTCTACTCCTAGATGTCTCCTGGTATAAATACGCAGAAGTTTTTCTAGATTATAAACTTAGAAGTGGAGAGGTTAGCCTTCATCAAAGTACATCAATTTCAGTCAGGAGAAATAAGTACAAGAGGCACACAGGAAGGTCTCTGCACGCCCTACGGAGGTCCTGGGTCCCGCAGAGGACGCCAAGTCACCCCGTGCAGACAGGCAGCCACCTGGTTCCACACTACAAAGACGCAGAGGACACCAGACCACCAGACCAAGGTACTGAGTCCCGCTGTTCCCGGCCCAGAGGTAGGGGCTTCTGAGCAGTCGTCCCACTGCTCCTGGTCCAGAGGACAGGGCTTCCCGGTCACCATTCCTCCCGCTGCTCCTGGCCCAGAGGAAGGGGCTTCCAGGCCACCATCCCTCCCACCGCTCCTGGCCCAGAGGGGGGTCTTCTGAGCCACCATCCCATTGCTCCTGCTCCAGAGGAAGGGGCTTCCCGGCCACCATCCCTCCTGCTGCTCCCAGCCCACAGGAAACGGCTTTTGAGACACCATCCCTACCGCTGCTCGTGGCCCCTGGCCCACCTCACCCAGCTCAGAAGAGGTAATCCGTGCAGGCACTAACAGCCCTCTGGCCCAGTCGAGATGAGAAAACACGTAAATAAGTCTCAAAACCAGACTTCCAGATCACCCTACAGCAACCCCAAAGGGAAATGAGATGGAACACTCTGATACTCAACCACCTGGACCCACTCAACTGGCAACAAAAGGGGATCTGGAAAAAA